AAATTATTGTAATTGATTATTATATTTTATCGTATTTTATTTTAGCTATTTCATTAATAAATATATTTTATTATTAATTTTATTATAAACTCTCTCTTTATTATAAATTTATTTTATATTATATCTTTTATACCTTTTAAAATCAAATAAAAATGTCATTAATTCACCTATAAAGAAAAAATACACTGTTAGTCTGTGTTAATTCGAATCGAATTTAAAACAAATATATCGCCATGAATTTTTTTCGATTACATACAATTCGTTAACAATATTTTCCAAAGTTTTTTTTATCTAAAGTTCAATTTGTAATGTTGCCCGGAAAAGCGCAATGTGGAAAATTAAATTAACGTATTTTGTAAATCAGACACTCCATGCTGTTTATTCTACTAACATGAGTGCGTTTAAAATTGCATAAATTCTGAAACAAATATGAAATATACATCCTTTTTCTGCGAATATGCGCGCGAGAGTAAATACTTTAAACAGTTTACCACGACGAGAGAATATATCATGCGCGTTCGTCGAGGAGATATATCTCTCGCGGCTTTCATATCATTGAGCGTGAAAGTTAAAACGTGTTCAGGTTACAAGTAGAACTCGCTACCATCAAGAGTCCATTCATACGAAACTCACGAACGTATCATCGCAAAATGACATTACTAGCCACGTCCCGTCGAGCGTTTTGTGTGCAGAGTGCAATTTGCTTTTCGTCAGTTTATATAAATATCGTTATTCCAAAAAGAGCGTTATCTCGTTTAAACCAGAAATAGAAATGACTATATATCGTTGTGTAACCCGTAGGTAGACGTAACAATAATAAAAATATCTTAAAGATCAAAGTTTTATTTATCATTTCTATTCTATAGATCTGCACTTGCTTTTTCTCTTATTGCTATTTAAAAAAATTTCTCACAGTTAAAATATTCTATAATTTGGATTTTTAATAAGCTTCCTCGAGATAATTTTTTAATCATATTAAAGAGACGTTTTATGCGTATAATTTTATTTTATTTCAAAGCTCTTTCTGTCTCTTTCTCTCTCTGTCTTTCACATTTTAAAAAACAGGGTTATAATTATTAAAACAGCATTATTATTAAAACTGCAAATTATTAAAATCGTAAGAAAGAATTTTTGTTAAGAGATATATTTTAAATAATTTTATCTATAGAGAAAGTGATTAATTGCAACTATCTTTTTCATTTCCCGCTTGTTAGTTAAATGTCAGCAAAAGTGCGCTCAGATAACGTTAGTTTTTTATCGCTAATTCTGGAGCCAATCCTTTCATCCAACAATTTCCTGCCGACGTAGTGTGGCGCCGTACTTAGGACGCGTCACTGACCATCGTCGTTAATCGTTTCGTAAATACGGCGAACACGTCTCTATCTAAAGTCAATCGTAAAATATTTACTTACATTGCCGCACGCAAACCATTGTGCGTAAATATTTGATCATCGATTTATAACAGCTACCGCACCAAAATTCAGCTTTTTCAAATTCCACCCTCGATGGGAAGCTCAGCACGTTTCTTTCAATTGTATTGCCTTTCCTCTTTTAGAATTTAATCAATAACCATATAAAATACGTCTCGATTTACATAGAAAATATTAAAAATTATAAAACATTTATTAATAATATTATAAATTAATACAACCGTATATTTCATTCGTGCAATATATTTTACATGAGAATTATTTGTTCAATTTAATTGAAAATTAATAGGTGTAACAAGATTTAAGTAATACGAATACGAATATTATAAAATTCAGAAATAATCATATAATTTAAAAATAATAAGATTTTAGTCATTGTTCATAATTAATTTCAGATCTAAAAATATCATCTACAAATTTTTCAATATATATAACTATAGATAATTTTATGAAAAATCTAGATTTTTCTTCAAGAAAAAAAATTACAGAAATATGAAAGTAGAATTTGTTATCAGTTAACTGATTCGCATTGATGCTTTCAAAACGCACAATTTCACAATTTCTTTTTCTTTCTTTCATCTTCAGATCTTCACACTGATGAAACTAGCTTTCTAATTTGCGGAAAGAACCTTAAGTGCTTTTCATGTTATCACAAACTCGTAAAAAGTTTTGGACAAAAACGCATAAAGTTGCATGCCAACAGGCTTTTAGTGCTTATATATAATAAAAATGTGCGCTGTCGTGTATCATGAATTTGTTTTGTTTTTTTTTAAATTGAATAAATGTGATACTATATATACCAAATGCAAAATTAATTAATAAGTTAATATAATCTAGAAGAAAGAATCCTATATATTCAATTAAAAAGCATATGTTAATACTTAATAATACTTATATGCAAATTTTTGAATACATTTTTCAGCTTTATAAACTGTACTATAAACCAATTTAATTTATCGAATTTGAAACCTAATAATAAACTAAAGTCGAAATATAATATCACATATTAAATTGATCATCAATTTAATACTGATACTAATAAGTATTTTTCAAAGTTGTACATATTATTGTAAAAACCGAATGTTACTAAAATCCGCACCAAATATAGGAGTCTTTCTTTTATTTGACAAATTTATTGTGTTTTGCTCTTTAAGTTTTCCAAATTATTTGGTAAACTGCAGCTTATTAAAAAATTTTACAGTAATACTATTTTGTAAGTAATTATCTGCAATTCAAACGGCTGATTAATTGGCTTATTAATCAATCGTGCAATTGAGGAAATTGTAGGATACGCATTGCAGAGTAATCTCACTGTGCGTGTAATTCCGCGATAATGTCCTGAGGCTGTAATTAGATATTAATCGATCGCAAATTATCATAATGTGTTCCCTGCGGTTTTGTGTTTTGTGTCGAAATACGCATCGGATTTTTTTTTACCTGTTGGCAATAGCATTGCGGAATCACGATTGGTTATTGCGGTACATATGCCTCATTAGGTGCTTTATCTGTCAACAATTAATCCTTTTGCTGTTACAAGCTACGGACGTCATGTGCTCTCTCGACCACGATCATATTTCGAGCATAGAACAAACATTAATAATGATGAGTATTTTGTGAATGAAAATCCATTCACGTAGAATTTTATGCGTTTAGACGCTTCAGTATAATTTGTATCAATTTTGTAGCAAAAATTTTTCTCATGAACTTTTTTCTTAAAAGCGATGAAGATCTTGTAACTTAAAAAGTCATATAAATTCTCATATTTTGCGTTATATAAAGTTTCATATTTTACATCTCTCCGACAGGGAGAAAGTCCACTTCATTTTTGAGAACAAACAATGAATTTTCATTATTTAATCATGTTATAATCCGTGGAAGTTTCTTGGATAAATGGATTTAATAAGATATTCAGTTTGATTAAAATGAAATTTTCTTTCTCCACACTTTTGTGTGTTTTTCCTTTCATCTTTTCGACCAAGCGTTTGGAGACTTTTAAACAAACGTAATTCGTCGCATTTCGGAGGAATTTACGCAATCGAATTTACGAAGTTCCATGCAAATCATTTTGCGATGTTTAATCTAAATAATTTCTTCGCAGTGAAATTATTTGTCTTGCATTTTGTTCATCGTGAAGTATTATCCAGAAAATACTCTTGCTTTCACGTATCAAAAGCAGCAATCCATAGATTCTTTTTTCTATAAAATATATTCTTTTATCTGTCATGATAAGAGATTTATTATCGCTAATAAAGCAAACGTAATATTCCTTCGAAGACTACATAATAGAACGAATTTTTTGTAAATACGTATTTATGATATAATATAACAATTTAATTATTCTATTACCTAAAATATTCCGTTCTAAAATTTCTATAAAATTTTATTTAAGGCCTGAATTTTTTTTTAATTTGTTTCAATCAATTTCTTTCTCTACATGAACAAAGTTAATTTGGTAATTTCAAAATTATAATAATGTAGTCGCAAATTATCCTGTTTGTACTAGAGAATATACGAGAATTATACGAAAGACTCTTCAAATATCCACACTAACTTTTTCGAGTTGACAAACTATGTGGAAAGTCATTACTATTCAATGTAATTTTGTATAAAATTTTATATAAGTCCTAAATTTTTTTAGAAAATTTGTTTCAATTAATCAATTTCTTTCTCGACACGAAAAGTCGATTTAGTTCCAATTCAAAACTATTGTAATATAATCGTGAATTATTCTATTTATATTAGAGAATATATGAGAATTATACGAGAGATTCTCCAAATATCCGCAGTAACTTCTACTGACAAGCTGTGCGGGAAGTTATTACTGTTCATTGTAACATGGAGTCTTACTACTGTCTGTAGCAATGCGGGGACTTACTACTGGGAGACACAGTGCTACAATTTACTACTGGATAATCATACAAGCGCGGAGTTACTTCTCTAACTGTAGGGGGTGTGCGTGCAACTTATCATCCTATTTGAAAGATTGCTTTTACTAACACTGCGTTGCTGTGATAGAACTAACTTTAGATATCTTTGTAAGAATTAAATCTTTGCACAGTTTAAAACAAACTTGAGACAGAGATGAGATTTTGATATCCATTTTTCCTTATTTTATTAAATATTTTATAAAAACAAAATTGAAGACATTATTTTATCTTGATTCGAATGCTGGCTGTGATAATAATTTTTGTAATAAATTAAATTATTTTTTATCATAGTAAAAAAATTAAATAATTTACAATTAAATAATTTACAATTCTTAAGATACTTAGATTAGCAAATCCAATTATTAATATCCTTTTAAAATGCTTAATATTATCAAAATGATTAAATTGCTGCCAATTCAATACGTAGTATTAATACTCTGTAATTAATACTGTATTCATGATTGAAAAAAATTTTGGTTCGCGCAATTTACATAATTAGATACAACATCTGGTATAATATTTTAACGTTTTTACGTTATAAAAATTGTAATTTTAAAAAAATTACTTGCGAGACGTTTCTTAAAATGCCGAGATTATTACGCGCGAGAAGGAAAAATGGATACGTATAGAAATGAACGTGTACCTTGACGCTGATGAGAGCCAGGTAGCTGACAAAAGCGGGCCTGCGGGAGAGCTCTACGGGGATGGTGGTGTGTCGTCCAGCGACGGTTGCGCTATACTCTGCGAAGGCGAATCGTCCGCTGCGCGTTTATATAAGCCCGCGACTTTGCGACTCTCGCACCCCCTCACACCCCATGTACGTCCCCACCCCCGGGACGGTGGTTCCCACCCTGCCACCGATTCGCCGCCAAAGCATTCTCGTCCAATCAAACGTATCCGTGTACCTCGATCACAGCGTTCTCTCCTCTTGTCCCGGAAGACGACGACGACCACCCACGATTTTCCCGTGGCGAATTCGTATCTCGCCGTGAAATGCAGACGACGAGGTTGTCGCTGGGATATCTGAGTATGGGTGTATTCCACAGGTGCTTGGCCCTGAAAACTTCCGCGCGAGGAGTCTTTCTTTGATAGATTACCTTACCGGTTATTCGCTGAGAAAGCGCTAATAGAACAGATAAAATGAATTTCATTACTTGTACGATGAGGAGACGATCGATTCTTTTTCGCACGCAATATTATGCGCATTGAACGGAAAAAGTATCTTGTATAGTCCGTACCTGTCGCTCACAAAAAATATATTGCAACGTGTGAAACGATAACGACGGTGATATAATTTATCATTACTCCCAAGAGTAGTGATGTAATACTTTTTTGATATCTTTTTTTGTAGAGAAGATGGTATTATGGCTGGTGAATATATCATGGCTCTTCTTAATATCTCCGCTATTAGGTAGAGTATTCTAGTGATTACTTATGGAATTATTGGTTCAGTAATTCGCCGTTACATCATGACACTAATATGCCAATACACAGTACTCGCAGCACTTTTTATTATGCATTTTTACTTTTAAACATTTTGAAACGGTTTAGAGGTACATTTTAACATTTACTTCTCTTCACATACTTCTTTATTCTTATTAAACTTGAGCGTATTATTGTACAAATAGTATATTTGAATGTGTCATTTAACTTTATTAATTTTATTTGGCTACATATATTTGGAGTTACGCGAAATTAAATAATAGCTTAGCGTTTTGTTAATATGGTCCTAAGCGAATTGATTACTGACGATTTTCTTTTCGAGATTTTCATATCAAAATAATTATTCCATGTTTTTGTAATATTTTACTTTTTTCTCAATTTTGTAAAAATACTATTTTTTTTTAAACAAAACCAATTTTTTAAGTTTATTTTTATGGAAGACACTACATTATCACTTCTGTTCTTTTTCGAGCCAATTTATGTGTAGTTACACTTTTATAAATAGTGTCCTAAGTAATAAATGTTTTGTAACTTTGAGTCTCGAATTGATTGAACAACATTTTGTCAAATGTAATCCTTAAGTTTTAAATTTAAATATTAATTGTTGAAGATAAAAGTTGTTAATGTACATAAAATTTAAATGGTACTATAATACCATCTTTTCCTCTAAATTATTTCAGAATTAATACTTTTTAAATAAGAACAATAAGAACTCTCTCTTTCTCTCTCTCTCTCTCTCTCTTTCTCATAAATAACATTAGCGAAATAAAAAAAGACATATAAGAATTAAGTATAGACATAATTACGTAAAGATAAAATATCAAAAGTAAGGATTCAATAAAATAAAAAAATATACTATACGTGTTTCTTTAATATTTTTAATAATTAAATGGTCTTAAAATTAATTATTGTTTGAGATTTGTTCTCCAAATAACTTTCAGTATTAGATGTGATGGAAAATTAATCGATAAATCTGTTCCACGAAATACAATCCGAAATCAACGGTGATGCGCAGCGAACGTGGAGGTTCGCATTTTCATCTATGGGATCAGCTAAACCACAATTTCGAATTTCAATCGTTACCTTCTCTAAGTGATATTAGGGGGCGCTTTAGAAACAAGATACGAGAAATGCAAACCAGCCGAAATGTAGGCCATGTATTATTTCTCTCTGATCGACTGACGTGTATTATCTTGTATCGTAGGTCACGACCGGTCAAATATCCGATTTACATGTCTGATGTGTAACTTGTTTCAGCGTATTGTAATCTAGCGAGGAATCCGATTCATATCGATCATTGAAGGTAACAAATGCGTCACGCGCTAGCCTGTTCGAAATTATTCCGAATCATTTAGCAACACATTACGTAGTTACAAGAAAATGGCGATAAAATTAGGCGAGTCACTAGACAAACGGAGGAGACGAGTACGAAGGAGAGAAAAACGGAGGAAATGAAAGTAGACTAAAGAGAAAAAATTGTGTCGCTAGTCACGTTCGAGTCATCAATTTTCGATATAAAGCTCGAGTCGTTTGATTCTTACATCCGAGTGATACTGACGCAAGTATTCGAATCGAAAACAAAACTTGTATCAACGTATTGAGTCCAGTTAAGCATATTATATATTTCAATTCGCAATGAATCTTTAAATATATAATTATATAATATACAATAAATATCTCCTGACTATGGAACATCGAATTAATTGTTTATTACAAGATAAGAGATTTGTATTAATAAGCTATGGATTGGGTCTTATCTTTCATTTGCATACTGATGACCATAATGATATATGTATTCAATTTCATTTGCACATTGATGTGTGTGTGTGTGTGTGATCTCGGTAATATATTCAATTTTCCTGCCGCCACCATAATCGATCTAAACTTCCAGATTTAAAAAAAATATATACATAATGTTAGTACGATAAGCAATTTGTGGTGTCGATTGATGCAGCTGTTTACGCAGTAAGACCTACGAAGGATCGATGTACACGATCTGTTTCTCGTCACTACGCATCCACGAAGAAATATCCAATTTGCCACGAATACAACGAGTACTGTTTGTTCCTCCTTGAGATGCGAGTGGATTTAGGTTGCCATTCTTATACTATATATTTGTGCTTATACGAGGACAATCTCCCTATATAAATATTTCATTGAAAGAATCGCAAGCTCTTTACCATTTGAAAATAAAAGGCTTCGTACTTTTATCGAATTCAATTTTATTCTTAGATTGTTTTTGAATATGATAGAAAAATATATATATAAATGAAGTATTTATATTATTTAAGCTCGTTAAATAATAGACCTGTTTTTATTTCTACACTATCTGAAGTAATGCAGGAATAAAAAATAGACCTATATATAACGATAAATTTGTATAACTGTAGATATTAAATTTTTTTGATACTATACTTTTCGCTATCGACAGTATACATTTTTCACTATCAGACAAAATTTATTTTAGTTAGTTTATGCATGTATTTTTAATAATCATTATGCTCTCTAAAAAGGCGTTGTTTTCCTCATCCACATACATAAATTCCACGTATTTTGCATTCAAAGATCGGAAATGTCCCGCACGTGCTCAAAGAGCAAAAAATGCCGAAAATACATGTCGACGGACATCGCGTATACGATGACAAAGAGCATGATAGTCAAATAATAATGTCTTCCATTGCTTTTTTTATCTCTCGCATTCCTTCGTTTTTCTCGTCTTTTTTTCCGTATTTCTCTCACTATCTATCTCATCTGAGCATCCTCGAACCCAAGGAAGCATCCTTGACTTTCCCTCTTCCTTCGTCATATCAAGAACTGCCGTTATTACCGTTTATCGCGTAGCCCCTTTCCAGGGCGTCGCCTTACGCTATTGTCGCCATGCAAATTGTGGGATAGCCCATTTTAATAATGTCCGCGTTGGTGGGTACTCGAAACAAATAGCCATCGCGGACATAACGTAGATATAAGCGAGTGATGAAATACCAGCGTGATGCATTTGATATATGGCAATGTATGGTCGGGTAACTACGTCACGGTTCGATGCTTTCGTTGACGTGTGTTGAAATTTGAAAGATAAATGAATTAAAGTGTAAAATTAATTAGAGGTTTCATTCAATCTCTGATTATGATAATAAGTTAATCGATTATTAAGTACACGAATGACATTATTAGATACTATTTAGTACATTAAAGGCCCTTATATTAAAATGTCACCATGAGTTTTTAATTTTTTTTCTTTTACGTAAGATACAAAAAATATTTCACTGTCGATATACATATTTACGCGTTAAATTATGTTTTTAATGAAGACTAATTAATTTTTTTTATGTCGATTAAAAATGTATTTATATACATATTACAATAAACAAACTTTTTTACTATTACTTTTATATTTGCACATCATTCTTGTTATATCAGCATGTTATTGGCGCGTATTCAGAACGCAGTTTTATCGATAAAAGCGCGCTTTTATCTTTGAAATTCTATAGTATACGTAACGTAAACTATAGCATGTTAGCGCGCTTAACATCGTTTTGTTAGCGCGTTCTGAATACGGGCCATTATCTATTTATATTATATTTAGAATACTTATATACTAAAATATAACTGGAGGATTTATAAAATTCAGGAAGCGCGAAAAAAATGTTTTCTTCACGCGTGCACGTAATGTGCCCTACACCTTAACGCTTTTGCGTGCGGTAAATAAACAATACCTCAAGCCGTTAAGTTATTTCTCTAATCCCACTCTTCTGCGCAAAAACGTTGCTGTATAGGGCACATTACGACGAGCACTTCTAAAAAAAAATTCTATGTGTAACAGTGGGGGCATATTTGTTTATAGGTCGACACGGGCGCGCGTACGCACTCGCTTCGCCCGTGCCGTCGCGTCCGTCCCCACAATAAACAACATTCCTCCATGGTTACACAATGTACTATTATCTAATTTCTCTTATCAATTACTCATTTAAAACATATATTGCTACTTGATCAATTACATAACACTTCTTTAATATAACAAACGGGTAACTAAAAAGCCATGCTTTTTATTGATTATAATAATCTTTCGTTAAACGTTAATATTATAATACGATTATGATATAACATCATTATGCAAGAGTGCGTAAAGGTTATGACTTAATTAAAATAATTAATAAAAGATATGTAAAAATAGTATCTATTCTATATATATTATCGGATTTAGACATTTTCCACATCAATATCTTTTAGTTATTATGTATTCAAATAAATCTAAATAAATTAAAGTAGATAATTATGATTTTGTATAT